ATGCCGCAAAGTCGCTTGTCAGACTACATTAAGATGATCTCACGACATACTCGGGTATGGCTGTTTAGATGTAGGGGGTACAGGCACTATTTGAAGGCAGTCGAAGGAAAAAATCGAAAGGAGGTCGATGGCATTTAGCATTACATGGTCCATTTCTCAGTAAAGAAATAAAGAAATTCTACATACTTCAGCATGGCTCACTGCGGTTTACGTCCACACATAGGCAACCAGTAATTCGGACTCTACAAGCGATAATGTAAACACACCTTGAATGCCCATTTATATATTTGCTTTTCTAGTTAAACTTAGCAATGTGTATTAATTTTGTGTGAAAAAAAAGCATTCCACTGTAATTTGCGACCGCGTCCATGTGCACCAATGCAGGCCTATTCTATTTATGGAGATGGTCACATAATCAGCAAAACGGAAACTTAACTGGTACAAGTTTCGAAATAAAATGTTTGTCAAACCTTTATAATATCTAGAGCTTTTGTTTTGAAACATGTTTAACTAAAATGTAAGAAAAACGAAAAAAGTTGGCAGCAAGCTGGTAGGCAGTAAGTGAAAGCCTGGTCTGAACACTGAATTTCTAGGTAACCATGTATTTTTCACACCCCCTAATTTCATTTCCACAACGATCCGTGAATGAGGTTAAAAAGCAATAACATACTTGTGTGACAGGACAAAATGCTTTGTTTATTACGCACGCTTTATCTTGTCAAATGAAGCATGAATTTGAAAAACCATGAAAACTAGAGGATCAGAGAGGTGATACCGCCTGAGGGTATTGTACCACCAGCTGGAGTAAGCTCATTCGTATAGAAAAGTGAAAAAAGGGACACCACCTCCAGTGTTGTGCTTGACAAGCTCTACATGCAGTAAGCAAAAGTTCTAAATATTTTTGTTGAAAATTACCATTTAAAACAAAATCATGAGGAAAAGTAAAAGTTTAAATTCAAATTTGTGAAGTGCAGTTCATGGCAAAAAGTAGGTCAAAGCTCAATTTCAAGAACACAGATTGTCAGCATATGACTGCCTATTCAAGTTCCATAGTGATTATTGGCATATCTCTGCTAGTTTTGGAGATAGAAAAGTTGCAAAGTTGCGCGGCTCATTATAAAATCGCCACCTTTTAAAATTTCCAGTTGTACTAAGTGCACGTGGTCTGCAGATTAATTTTAGCCATTAAAAGCGTTAGATTGAAACCTTTTGCCGCTACAAATACAACAACTTGATTGATATCTTAGGCGATTATCGAAAACAGACAATAGCAAGAATCACTTACCTGCTGTAGGTTACAAGGGCGACCAACCCATGGGCGGGACCAGGATTATTTGAAGGGGGGTCCACGGATGCAAAACCGACCCTTATCTTAGAGGGCGAACGGTGCTATTTGGTACTTTTTAGAACTATGATTCGGCTAGAGAAAATACTTATTTCATAAGGGGACCATCGGTGTGATTATTTTTAGAAACTGAAGGGGAGGAGGTCAGGACCCCCTGACCCCCCCTCCCCCAATCCGCCACTGCAACTACCAATNCCGCAAAGTCGCTTGTCAGACTACATCTAAGATGATCTCACGACATACTCGGGTATGGCTGTTTAGATGTAGGGGGTAGAGGCACTATTTGAAGGCAGCTGAAGGAAAAAATCGAAAGGAGTTCGATGGCATTTAGCATTACATGGTCCATTTCTCAGTAAAGAATACTAAATAAAGAAATTATACATACTTCAGGATGGCTCACTGCGGTTTTCGTCCACACATAGGCAACCAGTAATTCGGACTCTACTAGCGATAATGTAAACACACCTTGAATGCCCATTTATATATTTGCTTTTCTAGTTAAACTTAGCAATGTGTATTAATTTTGTTCGAAAAAAAAAAAAAGCATTCCACTGTAATTTGCGACCGCGTCCATGTGCACCAGTGCAGGCCTATTCTATTTATGGAGATGGTCACATAATCAGCAAAACAGAAATTTAACTGGTACATGTACAAGTTTCGAAATAAAATGTTTGTCAAACCTTTATAATATCTAGAGCTTTTGTTGTTTGAAACATGTTTAACTAAAATGTAAGAAAAACGAAAAAAGTAAGCAGCAAGCTGGTAGGCAGTAAGTGAAAGCCTGGTCTGAACACTGAATTTCTAGGTAACCATGTATTTTTCACACCCCCTAATTTCATTTCCACAACGATCCGTGAATGAGGTTAAAAAGCAATAACATACTTGTGTGACAGGACAAAATGCTTTGTTTATTACGCCACTTTTTCTTGTCAAATGAAGCATGAATTTGAAAAACCATGAAAACTAGAGGATCAGAGAGGTGATACCGCCTGAGGGTATTGTACCACCAGCTGGAGTAAGCTCATTCGTATAGAAAAGTGAAAAAAGGGACACCACCTCCAGTGTTGTGCTTGACAAGCTCTACATGCAGTAAGCAAAAGTTCTAAATAGTTTTGTTGAAAATTACCATTTAAAACAAAATCATGAGGAAAAGTAAAAGTTTAAATTCAAATTTGTGAAGTGCAGTTCATGGCAAAAAGTAGGTCAAAGCTCAATTTCAAGAACACAGATTGTCAGCATATGACTGCCTATTCAAGTTCAATAGTGATTATGGGCATATCTCTGCTAGTTTTGGAGATAGAAAAGTTGCAAAGTTGCGCGGCTCATTATAAAATCGCCACCTTTTAAAATTTCCAGTTGCACTAAGTGCACGTGGTTTGCAGATTAATTTTAGCCATTAAGAGCGTTAGATTGAAACCTTTTGCCGCTACAAATACAACAACTTGATTGATATCTTAGGCGATTATCAAAAACAGACAATAGCAAGAATCACTTACCTGCTGTAGGTTACAAGGGCGACCAACCCAGGGGCGGGACCAGGATTATTTGAAGGGGGGTCCACGGATGCAAAACCGACCCTTATCTTAGAGGGCGAACGGTGCTATTTGGTACTTTTTAGAACTATGATTCGGCTAGAGAAAATACTTATTTCATAAGGGGACCATCGGTGTGATTATTTTTAGAAACTGAAGGGGAGGAGGTCAGGACCCCCTGACCCCCCCCCAATCCGCCACTGCAACTACCAATGGACCTCGGTGGACACAGGTTAATTACATATCTGGCATTTGTGTCATAGGTTGTGCATTTAAGCTTTAAACTTAAGTTTTATAAATATTAAAGTACCTACCCTTTAACGCGAAGTAAGAATCACGGTCAGCCACCTTTGTTTATGAGACAGTAATCAGTGTTACGCCGACGACCATCACCTGATCTATTGAATTAAACGAGTGGAGTAGTAACGAACCCTTGGAACGAATTTGAGAAATAAGCAAACCTGACTTTATCGAGTGTAGGGGAGTTCGATTTTCTAAAAAAAATATACATTATATTTATAAAAATTCAGTCGGGGTCGAAACTCCCCCCCCCCCCCGACCCTCCTAAATCCACCACTGGCACAAATCTTTTGTCCTGTACCACCTTAACTGCGTCACGTCCAGCTCGATGTAGCGAGTCAATAGAAATATAATTTCAATCGGTTGACGAGAGGAATTAAAGTGAAATTAATTTCTCTCTGGTTATGACACGCCAGAAGAGGGCGGGATTGATGTAGGGGAGTTTTCGTGTCATTTAGGCGATTGACACGGTACTGTTAACACGCTTATGATTACGACTCCGTAGACGACATGGTTGATGAGTCCAGTGGAGGCGAACACTTTACCTTGGCTGATGTAATGAAAAAAATGGAAAGTAAAAAGAAAGAGACGAAAGACTATTTCGACCATAGACTGTCTACATTTAATGCCGAAGCCGGTAAAAACTGAAAGTCGACAATATTTATCTTGGAAAATAGAAGGTAATCACCAGCAATTTGACTCAACAGTATTTGAAAATAAGATTATTGTGGTGAACAAACTGACAGTGCCTTACAGTCTTGGCAAGAGAAACAAACTTATCAGAATTGCTGACACTTTCGACACTGTTAAGGAACATACTGTTAATCCTCTTGCTTGTGATTCTGAGAGCGAGAGAGCTACAAAGAAAATAAAAGAAAACAAAAAGGGAGCCAAAAAAATAAGGTTATATCAGCAGACCGACCGATAGGTGTGGTGGGCGATACTTCTCAGCGGAGAAGTCTTTATCGCAGCAGCGGGTCGTGACTTTGCTTAGCTTGTTGAGGAAAGGGCCATTTCATGCTTGAGTGACCAACTTACAGAGGGGAAAGTTATTCTACCAGAGTCCAACCCCAGAGATAAGGGAACATCTGGAATGGGATAGAAGGCGGAAGCATTGAAAAATAGATAAGTACCCGGTACATGTATGAGTGCGTTAGTTTCAATCAAGAGTTGCATAATTATGAACATGAGCAAAATCAGAAATTCATACCCGTGAAAAGTAGGTTAAGAACCAATTTAAGTTTTTGGGAAGAAGTAGGGTATTCATTTTTTATTCTAGACTTGATAAAAATGGTTATAAATTTCCGTTTATAGCAACACCCTGTGGGATGAGGAAAGATAACAGCTTTCACCATTGAAAAATAAGTTTTTTGTTAAAAAGCTATTCTTGAATTGAAAAAGATGCGTTTGATTAAAAGGTGTAGCAAACAACCAATTGTTGATAACCCTTAAACAGAAGCAGTGCATAGCAGTGAAAAAA